GGGACTGGCAGAACATGGTACCCTGGGGAAGCAGCACTGCAGCTGTGTGTAACATCCACCGTATCACTGCACAGGGGCACAAGGACCAGACCCACAAACCAGTGCTGCAAAGGCTGTAAAATCCACCCTGGCTCCAGGACCTTCCTCCCAGGCCTGGGACCATCTAATTCCCAGTGGAAACAAGAGCATCACTCTGTTCTGAAGCTCTTCCAAGTGCAATCTTTCCTAAAGGCATAATCATAGAATTACTGTGATTGGAAAAGCCCTCGGACACCATCAAATCCAACTGGTCCAACCATCTCCCAGCACTGCCAGGGCCACCACTGACCATGTCCCCAAGTGCCACATCCACAGGGCTTTGAAACCTCTCCAGGGATGGGGACTCCACCCCTGCCCTGGGCAGCTGTGCCAGGGCTGGACAGCTGTTTCAGGGAAGAAATTTCCCCAATATTCCAACCTAACCCCCCCTGGCACAGCCTGAGGCCGTTCCCTCTCCTCCTGTCCCTGTTCCCTGGGAGCAGAGCCCGACCCCCCCCGGCTCCCCCCTCCTGGCAGGGATTGCAGAGGCAGAAGGTCCCCCCTGAGCCTCCTTTTCTCCAGGCTGAGCCCCCCCAGCTCCCTCAGCCGCTCCTGCTGCTCCAGCCCCTTCCCAGCTCCCTTCCTTTCCCTGCACACGCTCCAGCCCCTCCGTGTCCTGTTGTGACGGGCCCAGAACTGCCCCCAGGATGGGAGGTGCCACCTCAGCAGTGCCAGCACAGGGACAGGCACTGCCCTGGGCTTGTGCCCACACCGGGGCTGGTACAAACCAGGTGCCATCGGCTGTCTTGGCCACTGGGGCACAGCTGGGCTCGTGTCCAGCCCCTTTGGATAAAATAACACAAAGCAGGGGCTGCTCACAGGTCAGAATCTTCCCAGCACTTCCCAGAGGAACTACAGCCTGATCTCTGCAACTGTCCTGGCCAACACGGAAAGCCCAGCAGTTTGTCTGGAGCTCATTCCCAAGGAAGAGGAGATGGGAGGGAAGGAGCTGGGAGCTGGCTGGAGGGTGCAGTTCACCTCCCAGCTGCAGGACACTGAAATCGGGGTGTGCTGCAGCCAGGGACTGACACCCCAGCTGGTCTCCTGCACAGACCCACAGCAGCACATCCTCAGGCAAACCCCTGAGTGAAACTACTCTGCCAAGAAGCCCCTTTTCTGAGCCTGGCGTGCTCATCTGGGCAAAGGAGGGTTAAAGCAAAGACAAGAGGTGATGGAAACCCGCATACAAATAACTGATGTTATGATCCCCTACTCCCAGAGCCTGGGAGGAATTCACACCAACCAAGCAAGCAGGGGCACCTGTGAAGTTCCAGTGCAAGAGTGACTCAGAGCTGACATAAGCTCGGCACTTCTTTGAGCCCCCGGGCAAACTGTGCTGTTCTCATCCCCTCCTCCCTGGCAGCCACCTTTCTGCAGGAGTATCAGACAGCAGATCACCCTGATTTGCATTGCATGTGCACTCCAGCTAATCCCCATGCTCTGTCCCTGCTCAGCCTCTGCCACAGGGAAATGACAGCAGCTCCTGTTAACTCCAACTGGGAAATCTCACCATGTTTGGAACACAGACACCATCCTGCCTCAGGAGCAGGCGAGGAGCCCGCATTTAACAGCTGGATCTCCTCCCCACACCGGCTGCTGTGCCCCATTTCCTGCCCTATTTAGCAAGTGCCTCCCAGGATTTCCTCCTCTCTGCACCACAAAGGCCGGGACAGCTCCGTGCTGGGAGCTGGTTTGCTCAGTGGGGATCTGCTCCATGGGAACTCCCATGTCCAGTACCCCCCTGGGAGTTACAGCTCCACAGGGAACCGCTGCATCTGCCCAGCCTGTTTCGTGCACCTCAGACCACTGGTTTCCTTTTAAAAGGTGAAAACTGAGCAGTAAATGAAATGCAGTTTTTTAGCAGCACAGAAACTCAGCCCCCGTTTACAGCAGGGAATACAGGAGGTGCAACACCTGGCTCCTCAGCACCTGGAAGGCTTCACGGATTCCCAGCAGAGCCAGAGGAGGGAGGACCAACACAAGCCCTCATCCCTCCAGCCCTGGAAGGTCACCAGGGCTTCCCACCTGGAGCATTTCACCTCTGAGCATTGTACAAAGAGCTGAGAGCAGCAGTTTGGAGCTCAGACAATCTGCTGACACAGGGAATTATCCTGCCTACCTTGGCTCTCCATTTCCTCATGTCAGGGTACACATAATCCTTGCCCGACTCACCGTGGGAAGGAAATCCCTAAGAACATGGGAACTGTGGCTCCTCATCCAGCCCAAATTTGTGGCTTGGCCCACAGGTGTCCTTGTGAGCAGCTGACCAGCCCTTCATCCCAGCACAGCCACGGGCAGGGAAGGAAGTCCCCTCGGGAGCTGCCGTGCGGTGCAGCCAGCGTGTCCTGCAGGTGTGCAGGGCCCTGGGGACACCCCCAGCACGGCACTCTCCTCCCCAGAGGATTAAGGAAGCTCCATGTACCAGTGTGGGCCTGTCTGGGGAATGCTGATCACCAGGAAACATTCCTAAGCACAGAGCAAGCAGCCCTCCAGCTCCCACCCGTGGGGCACCCCACAGCCGGGGGTTTGCCCCAGAATGCTCTCCCACAGGAGCACCAATCCTGACTGTCCCCACCAGGACCTGGAAACATCACACACAATTCCCGCTCCCCACGCCCGTTCCTTCCCACCCAGCAGGAACTCTCTGGAGCTGCAGTGATGAACCCACGCCCACAGACTCACCAGCTTCTGTGCCACGATGCTGTAGTGACTGAAGGACTGGAGCAGGGCCACGAAGCAAACCTTGCAGCCAGCTGGGGAGGACAAACACGTTAGCAGTTCCACTGGCAGTGCTGTCAGCAGAGCCCACAAACCACAGCGGCCAGGCTGCAGGTCTGCCTGGAAGGACCCTGACAGCTCCAGGCACGCCCCTCCTTGCTTTCCATTTTCACCTTTCTAGAGGATTTCTACATTAGGGGAAATGTTAATTCAAAAACAGGGGTAAGGAACAAGAAAAAGATGGCATCACAAAAGTGTAAGGCCCCTGTTCTGCCCCCTGCCCTGGTGCCCTGGGACCTCCTGGCACTGTTTGCTGCAGTTACTGTAAGGAGGCCATTGGCCGACCATGACACCAACTCCTGGAACCACTGATGTGCCAAAAACCCCATTTTGGCTCTCGTAAGGTGAGTGACCTTGACTGGAAAAGCACACAGAACCAGCAATTTTTAAACACACCTCACTCACTAAAATAGGATTCTGGAAAGCCATGTGACAATCTGGCCTTACAGGTATGAACACAGTCAGTGCTTGCCAGGACACGGATTTCCAGTGCAACAAGGCAGTGGCCCCAGCTGAGCCTCCACAGGGAGGCCCCAAAGGTTTTGGCACAGGGAGTAAGTGCACCCAGGTGCTGGGGTGGAAGGGAGCAGGTGACAGCAAGGATACCTGTCCTGAGACAGTAACATCCCCCAGGGCTGCCCACCCACAGGGGATGGAAAGCTTTTCCCAGGCAGATGGGCAGCTCCAGGCAGTAACTCCCAGGACAGGGCTGCAGGTCAGTATATCAGCAGAGCCAGGAGGGGATGTGGGCAGACCCCAAGGCAGTGCCTGGCAGGTCCCTATGAACCATTCACACCATTACCAACCTGCTCTCCATGGGATTTCCTGCAGTTTCCCTCTTTCCATCAAGTAAAAGAATATTTCCAAGGAGGGCAAAGCCCCTGCTGAGGCAGTGGCAGTTCTGGGGGCAGGATGCTCTCAGACCACCCCCTGCCCAGCACTCTGAGCTCCCTTTCAAGCCTGACAGCACCAGATTTGCTGGGCTGGTGGCTGTGGCAGCAGAAAGCTGGAGGAGTTGAGTCCAGTCTCTGCTGCACGGGGACCAGGAGGTTACTCACTGGGGAAACTGTTCCCAGAAAAGCAATTAGGCAAATTGCCAGGCCCTTTGTTTGCTTCTTTACTCACTATGAGCTTATGTGCTGTTAGTTGATGTTGATATGTGTAATTACATTATAAAACACCGAGGCAGTGAGGAATTGCAGCAAACACCTCCCTGCCAGAGCCCATGTGATTTACCAGGATCCCCACGACGGCTGACGAAACAAGGCACAGACATTATGGGATGTACCCAAGGATACAGAGCGAGTCCCGACAATGAGTCAGGACTGGGATCCCCCGATTCCGACCCCAAAGCTTTGGGTTAATCCAAGGGTGCCTGACGCTCTGCACAAGCAGCCCCTCTGACAGAGCAAACTGAAGGAAGCTCTGGGGTTCCCTGCTGCTCACCCACCTCGCAGGTAGAAGGACAGGAAATGGTGCACCAGGAAGCTGCCGTCTGTCCGGGTGTCCCGCAGCAGCGTGAACTTACCCTGCAAGAGAAGCAGCAAAACAACTGAGCAGAGGAAGGTGAGGGCACAGCCTGCTCTTGGCAGACAAGGTGCCTGCTCAGACTACAGGCAGTTCTGCAGGGATCAGTCAGAGGAAGGCGTGGACAAGCTGAGCTCCAGCTGCCTGTTTACAAAGGGATGCCAGCGCTTCCTCTGGGCACAGCCCCTGGGGAGGCATCTGAATCACAGAACTGGTAAGGTTGGAGAGCCCTCTGAGATCATCAAGCCCAACTGTCAACACAGCACTGCCAAGGCCACTGCTAACCCATGTCCCCATGTGCCCCATGTGGAATTCAGTGCCTTCTGAAAGAGCCACCCACCAGCTAAAAACCCTTGCTGAGGGCCCTGCTGGACCCCCAGCCCCTGTGCCCACCAAGGGCCACCCCCCTCCAGGAAGCCCCTGGCTGCTGCAGAGGACACCGAGGTGCAGCACTGCTGGCACATGTGCTGGCACATCTGGAGCTTTTGGTGCTGGACACCATCACTGGGGGGGTTCTGAGCAAGTTCCACCTCCCAGCTTTGTCCCCCTCTCCTTACACTCACAGTTATCTTTTTTCTGCAAGGGGCAGGGGGACAACAGCCACCCACTCCACTCCCAGTCCATTCTCCCACTGCCACAGCCAGGCTCATTGGTGTGTTTAAAATGTCAGCCCTGCTAAAGCTGCTGCTCCTTCTGTCCCCAGACAGACCTCCCTGGCCCCTTTTCCAGGTTTCCCTCCGACATGCCACACCCAGGGCAGAAAGCCTTATCACCAAAGCTGGGTAGTGCAGCAGAGCTCTGGGCACAAGGAATAAACCTTGTTTTGATCAGGCAGGAAATAAATTCCGTTCGTCAGTGAGCGCTCATTATCAGCCCCAGCCTCATCAAGGTGTTTGTTTCCATTAAAATCTTAGCCAGGATGTTTCTTTAATCAACACAAATCATAGAAGGATTGCTTGGAATCACAAAGAACTTACTGAAGTGGTTTTTTTTTTAACCCCCAAGAACAAGTCTTTTGCAGCAACAAGCCATCTCTGCACAGGCAATTCCCAAGTGATCCATCAGAGTGAAATCCCTGGTGTCCAAAGCCTAAAGAGGAGCAACTGGAACAGCAAATATTGAACAGGGCTGCAGGGAATGCGAAGCACAGGCCAGGACAGAGAAGCTGCTCTGCCTCAGTCACAGACAGAGCTCTTCCTCCCCAAAAAAGGGTTATGCCTTGGTGGCCACTGCAGTGACAGGGACACTGCTGCAGCGAGCACAGCTCGGAGATGTGTCCTCCATGGATGAGCCTGGAGGAGTCTCCGGGCTCAAAGTGCTCAAGCCCAGCTCCCTCTTCCCCAAAACAGTCCCTGCAAGAGCAGCTGAGCGTCCCCCATCCCCTCCCTCCTCAGCTGGCTCCTGAACAGAGCAGGCTGTGCCCAGCAGGGCGGGATGCTGTCACTGAGCACACAGCACTTCACTGTTCCAAACCTTCCAGCAATCCCCCTTCAATCCTGCCAGCCCTCACTCCACTGTCACACTGCGGCTGCTCAGACAGCACTCACAGAACCATCGGATCTCAGAGTCGCTGGCAGTGGAAAAGGCCTCTGCACCCACCAAGTCCCTCTCAAGGTTCCCTTTCCAAACCCCTTATACTCTGGACCAATCTGCTATCCCAGTTATTCGCTCCCCCTTCTCAAGCCCAGAAGGGGCTGCTGCTGGGGATTAAGTCCTTCCAAAGGCAAATCCTCCCTGTAGCACCTTCTCCCTGTGCCCCAGCCCATTCCCTCCACACCCTGCCCTCACGTTCTCTTCCTGCAGGCTATGAGGGAGAAGCTGCAGCTGCTTGTCAGGAGCTGCCAAAATCCCTGGCAGAGTATCCCAGCTGCCACGGCAGATACACCCAGTCTGGGGACAGCCCTGCCCACCCAGCAGCACTGTCAGCACCTGGAGAATGGCACTCTGGACAGCCTGACAGCTGTGCCGCTCCACAGCCAGGCACCTGCACAAAGAGGGAGCACGCTGGGGGAAGGCCGTGTCCATGGCTGCTGGGAGGGGAAGAGCCAACTCAATCCGAGGGAATTCCTCACAGAGAGGAGCCTTTGGATCAGCTCCCCTGTCCTGCTTTGGCAGGCAAGCCCAAACCCAGGATCTTGAGGCCAAATCTTTTGGTTTTGCTCTGTGGAATTTCTGTTCACACCAAGGTGAGCTCCCTGCTCCCCAAACCAGGCTTGTGGATGGCAGCATTCCTGCTCATTCCACTGCTCCACCACCAAACACACCTCAGAGCGCAGGCTCTGCTCTGACAACACCAACTCCACCGAGGGCTCCTCACTTAAGAGTTTCACGTGCATTACAAACTCCACGTGGAAACACAGGGATCTGGGCATTTGCACAGCCTCAGACTATCCTTTACTACCACCAAGCCTCAGCCAACACCTCCACCAGGTTTGCTTTGAGCCTCAAGGGCTCTCTCCCAAATTTTCCCCAGTGTTCCTTCCCCACCAGACCAGCCCTGCCCCACTCTGGGCAGCCTGACAAGGACTGACCTCGCTGGTACTTTCCAGCCCAGGGAGAAACTGGAGACCAGGGGGGACAGTCAGCCTTACAAAATCAATTATCACCCCAAACCTGTTCTTGTTATCTCAGCTCGTATCTGTCAGTAAAAACATGGAGTAACACACAGCACAGGGATAATTTGTTAATAATTACTGATAACACTGAGCTGTGGGGCCATCACACACCAGGGAAGGGATGGGGCATCCAGAGGGACCTGGACAGGCTGGACAGGTGGGGCTGTGCCAACCTCAGGGGGTCCAACGAGGCCAAGGGCAAGGTCCTGCACACGGGTTGGGACAACTCCTGCTGTCAGCACAGGCTGGGGATGAAGGGAGCGATGGATGGATGGAGAACAGCCCTGATG